CTTAAATAATGGTTGTATACAAAAATTGTCTCCTAATAATTAAGATTCATGGGTTTTGCTTGAAATTGTTTGAATTTTGAAGTCTATTTTTTTTTTCTTTTTTCTTTATTTTTTTGGATAAAATTAAGTTTTAAGCGATGGACAAATTTAGGGATTGTTTTAATTATCTTAAGTTGCCTTCTTTAATCTAGCACTAGTAGGGCCTTCTTTAATCTGGAAGGAAAATTTATTGGGTCATATTTTAAGATTGAAGCAAAGAAATTTCTTTGGAGTACCATCTACTATATGTGCTTGAAAGTCATTAAAATAATTTTGTATAAGAAAATGATTAAAAATAATTTTTGTGTACTAATTTTTTTATATAATTTTATATGTTATTTAATGATTTACTCATATTACTTTATCAAAACTCATGATATTATATATTTGAATTTAAATATTATAATGAAAAATAAAATAATATATTTTATAAATTAAATTTATTATCCTATTAAAAACTTAGTTAAACTAATTGTTATATATTAATTGTCTTATCTAAGAACACATCATCTCATAATAATTACTTAATTTATTCTTATTATTAACTTACAAATGAAAGTTACGTGACTATATAAACCTTAAAAATAAAATATGTCATTTTACTCAACTAGGAAAAGTTCCTTCACATTCTTCTACTATTTTTTACCTTACTTTATCTTTTAAATATTTTTAAGCAAAGAATGGTATTTTGAATTAAGGTAACTTTACGTGTAGTATAAATTTATAAAGTATTATTATAAAGTTGTAATATCCTAAGAGTGGCATGTTATGTATATCTTTAGTGCACCAATTAATCTACTATTTATAGAGATGTGAATCGAGTTAAAATAAGTAAACTTTTTACATTTATTTTGATAATATTTTTTATTTATATTTTTTATTAAGTTCATTAATTATAATTTTTATTTGATTTTGCAATCAAAACATAACAATGACATGAGGTAGAGATAAAAGAATGTTATAGAAATAATATTATATTTATTTAATAATACGTAAAAATTATAAAAAAAAAATATAAAAATAAGTTGGACACATATTTACCTTTTTGCTTAAAATTCGTATCAATTTCGCTAAAATTTTCTGAGTGACGGAAGAGAGGACCATACTTGCCTTTTTTTCGTATGTGTGCAAGCCATTTAAGGATATTAGTTGCCTGTTTTCCATATGTCAATGGGTTTTTTTCTTTTCTTTTTAAGTACATTAGTAAGTTAACTACTTTTTTTTGGTGCCATAAGTTAACTACTTGATATCACATAAATTTAAATTCCTAACCTTATCTTAAATTAAGATTTTAAAATTAGCAGTTACTAATTGGACTAAATTTTTGTTGGTAAAATTCTTCATCTATTGATGCATAAGTGGTTATTATGAAAATTGACACATGAATTTATACTTAATTTAAAATTAATTGATAATAAGTGAAATAATTCTCATTATATTTAACTCACATGTTTTTTTGTTATTCTCCCAATATGCAATTTTCTTACTCAATACACTCTTGCTTTTCAATAATAGCACATGATACCATATGAAAATTGATATATGACTTTTAACACAATATTTACATTTAAAATAAAATCAATTAGTAATAAGTGAAATAACACATTTTGTACTGAACTTATATGTTTTTTTATTATATTTTTTGATCCATTATAAACTTTAGGTTTGAATTTCAAGTCTTATAAGATAAACTAATAATAGACTTTTCGAAAACAAAAATTAGACTTT